ATGATGAACGTGATCATCATCTGCAAACAATCAACAAAGGAGATATGCAAACTACTACAAATCAATAAAGAAAATTCAAACCGCATGAATAATATTGAATTACACTGTAAGACTTTCTTGAGTAAATATGTATAAGAAAGAAATGTGGAGGAATGACTATATTCAATTTCACAATATACGGGTTAACTATAAGGTAATATAATACAAATTCACTACAAATTTAAATGTAAATTATATTCATATTACAAATTACATAAATACGTATGGCATAATAAATAAAGATCTACATATTATAATTATATAAAACGTACATGAAATATATAACGTGTTATATAAAATTTCTAAACTGCTTTTTAGAAAAAAAAATAAAAAATAAAAAAATGAGGACAATAGAAATTGTAGCACAAGAAATTATGAATCTAATAGTAAACATCAAAATATAAGAAACATAGTTATTTTGAACTTATTATCCAATAACTCAAGTCCTATTTTCTGTATGTAAAATCCAAATTTTCATTTGTAACTACAATACGCACGAGGTGTTTATTTATAACTAGTACGAATCTCCATTCATTAATATTTATAAATTACAAATGATCATTAAATAACATTTATAATTTAGAAATATAGAATCAATATATAATACAATTTACCTATATTAATTAGTTAAAATTGTTATATAAAATTTAAATTGTACAAAATTATATAAATCATGTCTATTTAAAATTAGTACATGACCCGTACGGTGCAAATAACTTATAATAAGTTACATTATATTTATTTCAAAATAAGTGTCATTTTAAAATTTTTATTCAGAAATTCAATTTGACTACAATGTAATTTAAGTAAAACAAACCTTTACACACACACACACACACCAAATAATTTGATATGTTCCACGCATATTTACAAACAAGAATCGACCATAGTATTATCCAGATTTTTCTTTCATTAATATCAAGTAAAATGCTTAGCAATATGAAAAAAAAAATTGAGATACTATTTATTACCATAAGCGGATATATTGGATCAATATATGATATAGCAAATAATTCGATTTCATACTTTGTTGATAAAATACAAAAAATTATATTCAGTTTAACCACGAAATTAACGTACAACACATTTATTATAGATAAAATAAAAAATACCCAAAAAATAGTTATTAAAAATAATTAAATATAAACTACAGTCAAATTATTTCCTCAATTATCCACGATTTGAGAAATTAAATACACAAAAAATAAATAACTTTTATTAAATAATATTTAAATAAAAATTATCATTAACACAATTTTTTTACAATAGTTTTTTTGCAAACTGCATAATTAATTATTGTTGTTGATATTTTTATAATTGTAGTAATTATTTACAGATTGAATAAATTAGTCGGATTTACACAATTTGCGTAATTAAGGTATATTACAAATGTATTTTACAAAAAAATTACACGAAAAATATAAAACACTTATCAAATAATAAATTATAAATTTTTTACTAAATCAAATAATTGATATTGCAGTCAAAATTCCCATATTTGGGTAAATCAGTCAATTCACATGATTTGAGTAATTAAGGTATCTTAAAATTAAATTTACCATAAGTGATTATTTTGAAATATACCATAAATTATTAAATTAATTTGAACAATTAAGGTATCTTAAAAATCTATTTTATATGGATTAATTATCTCCTTAAATAATGAGCCGCAATTTCCATAACTGGTTATTTAAAATATACCATAAATTGTTAAATTAATTTCCCAACATAGAAAATACATTTTTTGGAGGAAAATAGTTACTATTTAAAAAATAATCAAATCTTTATATATATATATATATATATATATATATATATATAGATTTTTTTAAATTCATGCTCAAAATACTCAATTTTAATTCATTCCCATTATTTTCAATATTATCAATATTTAAATAATAACAAATCAATTTTTTTTACACATCACACCATTCATTCACATAATTTTAATTCAATCATCACTTCGTATCATCTCTCTCATACTTTTACATCAAATCAACATTAATCATTTTATTTACAATAATATTTTAATATAATCAAAAAATTCTATTAAGAACTAATCTACCAATATTTTCAAAATTAACTCTGATTAATAAAAACAAAACTCAGCATATATATTCACGCCTTGAGTTTATACTTTACTCAAATGCATGTTAATGATTTATCATTTTCTAAAAACCAATGTCATTTGAGTATGTGACACATATATATTATGCCACGGTGCATGATATGGCTATGAAACAACCGGTAGGACCGGAACAGATGCATATAGTTCGAGTGAATTGAGTGCGTTAGTGTTTATGGGTACTAGTATTTGATCTTGTGCATTTGCACATATATAAAATAGATTTTTGTTTGTATTTATTAATTAGACGTGTACTTCTATTATATAAAAATTATTATTTTGTCTTAAGTTATTTTTATCATTCAAAATTAATTGAGATTTAAATTTTATTTTAACCATGCAACTTTTACATTAGTAACATGAATAAAATAATTTATATATTTGTGGCATATATTAAGAAAGTTAACATAAATAAAAAAAATTATTGGTGTTTCTGATTTTTAAAAGAAAAAAAATGTCAATCATATTTTTCTTCCAACAATGCAACCAAATATAGCGGTTCCAGCTCTGAATATGCCAATCAACTTTAAGTTCTAACATTAGCCATTACAAATTTGAATATTTTGCTACCAAATTTATAATTAATTTAGTAACTGATCCAAAAAATAAATAATAAAAATCTATATATTAAGGTGTAACGGTTTTAGCAAATTAGTGAGTAATTAATTAAAAAAATGTAACTCCTTTTGGAGGGAAATGAAAATAGATTTTATTAAATGTTTTATTAAATGCATTAGCTAGTAGTTATATATATATATAGATGTTTGTTAAAACTAGGTAATAAGCTAGCTGATAAATCAGTTTATAGCTTATTAGTAATTTTCAAACTTATAGTTTATAACTTATGATTTATAGCTAAAAAGTTAACTTATATGATAAAAGTGTTTAGTAAAATTACCTGAAATAAAAATTTCCATGAGCTTAATTATTTGAAAAGCTACTCAAAGAAGCTTATGAGATAAGCTCGAGCTTTTTAAATAAGTTAGTCTTACAAAACGAAACTTATTTAAATACATGAAACTTATAACTAATTAAATAAACTATAAACTACTTTATTTGTCTACCAAACATAATCTATATATCTAAAAGAAAATTTAATTCAACTCAATCATCATTACTCATCACATCAATTTTAATTTACTGTTTATTTTACTTACATAATTTTTACTATATCTCATTTTCATCATATTTTTCATACTTTTACGTCAAATTAACTTTAATAATTTTATTTTAAATATTATTTTAATACAAACATAAAAATACACTAAAAACTAACTAAATTAATTTTTCCAAAATTAACTACAATTAAAAAAAAAAATATCAATCAAAAACTCAATATATTCATATCCAGCAAGCCATAGAGTTTCCACGTTTGATCGAGCATGTCCATTTACTGACCAAAACTTGCAAACCACAGTTTGGAAATCTATCAAATGCCTACCGATTCATATCAATCGCAATAGTCAATGAGGAACCAATCTATATATATATAATTATTGACTGTTAGTATTTAATAAATTTATTTAACTTTAGCTATGTGGCAATATAATCATTTCTCTCCAAAAGCCATTACTTTTAGTTTATTTAACATTTCATTTAATTATTAGATAATCAACGCATTAATCACTTCAAAATTACAAAAATTATTTTAAATTTTTGATTACTGATAGTTGACCATATAATGTGTTGACCGTATAATGTGATTAGATATTATTATTATGGCTACGTTTAATTTTTTTTCGAAAATAAAAAACATATTTGAAATTTTTAAATAAATAATAAAATAATAAAAAAATACATACCAAAATATATGTTTCATCCAATCTGATAAACACAATTTAAAAAAATAAATATTCCAATTCTTTTAATTGTAAATTTGGTCTACAAAAAAAAAGTGAAAAAAAAAATCATTAATCATTATATAAATACAAATAACTCACAATACTGTATTTACATATATGCAAATACACAGGATCTAATACTTGTATTAATAAAGTGAACGGTTTCTGTTAATAGAAGCACTTCCTCAATTGTACATCATCAATAATAATAACTAGATAAAGATGAGAAAATCACCATCGCCATTCTCTCCATTAGATAGATAGCTTCGAAACCACTTAACCACCTATCAATTCACACTTAATTGATATGATTTAAAATTATAAAACAAGTTGATATTATTAGTAATATACATCTTCCATTACGCACCAACACGAGTATATATAGTAGAAGAACATTGACAGTAGTATTCTGTATTCCCCTTAACTTGTTGTACGATCTGGAACTGGATCTCCTCATATCGGGATCCTTTCATAATAAATTGAAAACAATTTTATTTCTGAAGCAAAGCAAATATATAGTACTTGTTAGAATATCACTTGTGAGTTGTCCCACATCGTTCATATATGAAAAATAGACCCACCTTATAAGACTAATGGACTACTCCTTCTTCCACCAATTGGTTTTAGGATGGAATCCCATTTGGGCTTCATATGGGTTTTTCCCTTCTTTCATGGTGTCCTTCATGGTAGTGGGCCAACACCCATTTCCTCCAGTTTCTGTCAGTAAAAATCGTAATGGTGAGTCCAATTGTGCACAAATTATTGTATAAGTGTATGCTGTTAAACATACTGAACTATCAACTGAACTAAAGTCCACAACTTTGTTAAAATCTTTTTAGTTACTGTATCCTACCTTATACCCATCTAAATTAATATTAGCGATTTACTGCTACCAATTCATAATAATCATTATATTAGTAAAGAGAATGAAGTCTATAAATAGATAAGAGAGCTTCTCAGTTGAAATTGAAATTGACAGGTTAAGAGTTCTCACATCATTCGTGAGGCAAATTTTGCTGCAGACTTAGAGTCTCACGCGACCTCGATTTCTCTAGGTTTCCATAGGCTTCCGGCCCCGCCCACAGGTGTCGTTCCGTGGCATGAGCACGACGTAAGGGTGTCTCTAACCCATGGAACATTTGCATTTAGCTTCTCGCGAGTTATCTCCTCTTATTGTATCAAGAAAATAAAAAATAAAAAATCCACAAAATATTATTATTTTATAAGAAAATTTGCATTTTTCATAAAATAAACCGATGTTTTCGAAAAGGAATATAACATTCTGTAATTTATACGAGATAATAAATTGACATACACANATATATATATATATATATATATATATATATATATATATATATATATATAAAAGGTCGCGCTCCGGTGAGAATGTTCCTCAGTGAACAAAAAATCTATGTAGCTATCGGATGATTTTCTTATGAAGTCATGCACTACTTAATTTACTACCACATGTTCAATGTGTATTTATTGTAGGACACTCATGAAGAGTATTTTTGATATTACCATAACCACACCCGCCCAATCACCCACGCACTCACCCTACCCGTGGGACCCACCACACTTACCTCCCACCCCATCTCCCTTCCTCGCGTCGTACCTGCACTTGGCCCCACCAGCCCAGTCCCGCCTCCATCAGCTTTCGACGTCGTTTTCTCCTCAGGGCCTTCCGGGATTGCCCCGCCGCTGATTTAGCACGTTCGCCATCCTACACAGGCAGCAGCAACAACAACACACCATCGCACACTCCGCCACCACCCCCTCAACCACCTCTGCCGCTCTACGCCCCCGCACCGCGACGAGCACTTTGACCCCTCTAGAAGCTAACGCCAGCACGACTTCGACAGTGCCGATCGTAGCACGATTTGCCTCCTCATTCCCTCTTTCGATCTCAATTTTGACCTAATTTTTTCGATTGGATTTCTTCCCCTCCTCTCTCCTTATACGTTTAAAACAAAAATAATAAAATGACTGCAAAATCCCGTCACCCAGAATCTATATAAAACCACTCGTGAAATAGAAAACAAAATCATGATGATAGAATTCGAGAACTTCCAAAATTGAATCGTACTGAATTTATTCAAATGCTTTTGAAATTGTAAGAAACAGAGGCAAAACGGGTGCGGTCCCACGCACATGAAGTGAACGCACCATAAGCAGAGAAAGCCTAGATGAATCCCAAGTGGAGTTTCATCCCAAAACCAATTGGTGGAAGTAGAAGTAGCCCATTAGACTTATAAATTAGGCCTATTTTTCCTGTATAAACAATGTAGACAACTCATAAGTGACATTCTAACACGCCCCCTCACTTGTGAGTCCTTAATAAGAAAGCCCAAGCCCATATATGGAGCTGGGTGCCCCAAGCCCTACCAGAAACAGGCTCCCATAAACGGGTGCGTGGGGAAAAAGGGTACGTCATCACACGATCCCATATAGAACCTGCTCTGATACTATGTAAGAAACGGGGGCAAAACGGGTGCGGTCCCTATTAGGTTCTATTAGGAACGACAACAACATGCGCGTTTTGAAATTTGGAAAAATAAACCCTAACGCAGCGGAATCTATAGTTAGGGTTAGGACATCACCATTTAAAATTTTTGCCGACTCAGAGATGTTTCTGATTTTCTTTTATGGAGATCGTCTGATTACCACAACCCAATCGGTTAAAGGGTTTGGCATTTGTCAACTCTAGTCGAGTGTTGAATCATGAACGGATCACCGGATCAGGCTCGGGCCGGTTGGATAGGATTCAGGTTGCAAGCACTCGGGTCGAATTGGGACAGGTCACGTCTCAGGTCTGGTCGAGTCGCGGACAGGCGCTGGTCGCTGGTCGCGGATGGATCGCATCGGGTGGCTGGTGCGCGTAGCGGGATGGCTAGGAGGACGTCGGGCGCGTGCTGTGCGGATGCGAGACTCCTAAGCCTGGGCGAACAGGTCGTACGGGCGTCTGGGACAGGTGGTCGTGCGGCGCGGGTCTTCTGGTCGTGCGAGGACTAGCGTGCGCGTGTTCTCGCGCGCAGGGAGCAAGGTGGCAGACCTCGATCGATCAAAGGGAACGAGCAAGCTGGGACGGCTAGGCACAGTGGCGCGGGGTTGTGTTGCTGGGAGCTGGGACCAGAGCTGGGCAACACGCGGCTGGGCACGGGACTGTGCGACTGCGTGCGGTAGTCGCGAGTAGCTTCTGGTGGCGGCGATTTCCGACGACTGTCAACGGCAGCGGTCGACGGTGGTGGCTGGCCGAAAAATATGAGATCTAAAGGTATGACCTATCTAACCTTAAGATCTTCTAATATATGATCCAAACACCTATTCTGAAAAATCTTGGTGGACGATTTTTCAGATCTCTCAAACTCTCAATATATTGAACACACAAAAACTCCTTTTTTTCTTAGGAAACTTTAGCTTAGGCGTGTGGAATGTATGGGAAGAGTCCAAGACATGGTGTATTTATATACTACATTAGGGACCTTAAGGAGGTGCCAAGTATGGGCTTATCACCTTAGGTTAAGGAATCCTAATCCCATTCTATATACTTTCCCAACCTAGGATAGAACTCCTTCTCCTAATCATCACCTTCTAGAATACTCTTTAGTCTCCTAACCCTAGGTAATATTCTTTTCCTAATGGAATATTAATTATGGAATAAAATTAATTCCTTAATCTAAATGGAATTAAATAATAAAACATTTCCACTAGAGTAATATTATGGAAAAATTAGAGATTTAGTCCTGTAAGTGGACCCAAATTGAGATTTAGTCCTCTCGGATACCCACTTTTGGAAAACGTCCCGTAAGTGCCAAAAATCGTGAGAAATCATCCTCACACCGGCTACCGTAGGTAAATCTTACCGGCTGCTGACATGGAATTTGCTTTCATTTTTTTTCTTTTCTTTTATGAACCACGTCGGCAATACAGATCGACAAATGCTATGTCATGCCTTAAATTGGAGGGCAAATGCACACACACACACAAACCCTAATCGTCATTTTCTCAACCCTTAACAAAAACAATCCCGATTATCCCTAAATCTCGACGATCCAATTTCTGCAAAATTTCTGTTAGCTGAAAATTGTGACGCAGAGGACAATGGACAATCTAATGGTGTTCAGGCCACCTGAACACTTTGAATTTCCACCACCCGATTATGGTAAGTTCTTGTTTGTTTGTAAATGTTTCGAATCATCAAAAGTTTTTTTCTTAATTTGAGAAATGTTTGTAATTTTTTCGAATTTGAAGTTCATGTGGTATTTTCGAACCCTAGGTGAAATGTTCATTGTCGTCATCTAATTTGCAGTCCAATTTGTCATAATCTATTTTTTTTGTTTTGTATGCAGACTCGAAAAGCCAACTCTTCACCTTATGTGTCCATTTTAGGGGACATTTCCATACTAATGGTGGGGAAAAGAAGTACATCGGTGGGGAAGCTTACAAGTTCGACTTCGTCCAAGAAGGTGTGATGTCTTTAGAAGCACTTCACAGGCTGGCAGTTAGAGAGAAAATGGAGGGGACCATTACTTACTGGGGAAAAACAGAGGTAGGTCTCATTACTGAAATAAAAAAATATGAGGAATTACTTGTTTTCATGAAAGGGGCTATAAATGGTTCTAGAGAGTTCATTATTTATTTTGTTAATGGGGCTAAGTGCCTCACATGTGATGAAGACTGTAATGATTGGGAGATAGATGATGAATCATTGGCAAATTATGACTATGAGGCTGAGTTGGGAGTTAAGGCTAGTGGGCAGTGTGAAAGAAAGGATTTTGAAGCTGAGGTGGGAGTTAAGGCTGGTGGGCAGTGTGAAAGAAGGGACTGTGAGCCTGAATTGGGAAGTAAAAATGGTGAGGGAGATGGTAGTGGTGAGAGTGATAATAGTGAAGACATTGACTTTGAGCCTAATTCTGAAGAATGTGATAATGAAGATGATGATCTTATTTTCACTGAACACATAGACTCTGATGTGGAGTGGTGTGATAACAATACATCACTCCATGTTGGAGCTTCTGGAGAAGATGATGAATTAGGTGATGCAGATGTGGTGGAAAGTGAGGATGACTACCATAGCGGGAAGGATTCTGATGAAGAGGAGATGAACAAGGAGGTTGCTCCTCTGTTCAATCCAGGGCAATTGTACAATCCAAAGTTGAAGCTTGGAATGGTTTTCAGCACAAAGAAAATAGTTAGGATTGCAATCAGGGAAAAAAGAAATGTGAAAATTACTAAGAATGACACCATCAGATTGCATGCTAAGTGTGTTGAGCCTGATTGTGAATGGAGGCTGCATGCTATAAAGGTTAATGATTCAAGGACATATAAAATCAGAGAATATGTCTCCAAACATTCTTGTCCAATGACCATGAATGTTAAAAATCTTAATTCAACGTGGTTAGCTGGGAGATATCTCCACAAGTTCCAGTCAGATCCTACAAGAAAACCTAAAGGATTCAGAGTTGATTGTGTGCAAAGTCTAAGGTGTAATATCACCCCATTTCAGGCATGGAGGGCAAAGAAACTTGCTTTGGAGCAGCTGGAAGGAAGCATAGAGGAACAATACACACTGTTGTGGGCATATGCAAATGAGGTCAGGAGATCTAACCCTGATTCAACTGTGCTAATTGGGCTCCACTAGGATCAAACATTTGAGAGGATTTATGTTTGTTTTGCTTCAATGAAGATGAGTTTTCTAAATGGGTGCAGAAGGGTTATTGAAGTGGATGGGTGTCATATAAAGAGTGGACAAGGTGGAGTCTTATTAACAGCTGTGGGTTTGGATCCAAACAACAGTATTTTTTCTATTTGTTATGCTGTTGTTGAAATTGAAAATGGTGAATCATGGGGTTGGTTCTTGAGGTTATTGAAGGATGATCTTGGAATTGAAAATGATTATGAATGGTGCTTTATGTCAGACAAGCAGAAAGGTCTTATCCATGCATGCAATGATGTATTTCCTAATGCTGAACATCGGTTTTGTATTAGACATATGCAAAACAACATGAGGATAGCTGGTTTTCAAGGACAATCATTCAAAATAGCTGTGTGGAGGGCAGGAAAGGCCACAACTGTGAATGATTTTGTAAGGAGGATGTCTGATGTGAGACAACTAGATGAGAAGGCCTATGACTGGCTTAAAGACAAGCCTCCTGCCCAATGGAGTAGATCTCATTTCAGCACACAGGCTAAGTCAGACATCTTGTTAAACAATCTTTGTGAGACCTTTAATGGGAACATTTTGGAGGCTAGACAGAAGCCTATTCTAACTATGCTAGAAATGATTCAGTTGTATTTGATGGAAAAAATGCAAAAGGCCAGAGATAGGGCTAGCAAGAAATGGAAAAGTAGTGTCATTTGCCCTAGGGTTGATAAGATTGTGCAAGAAAACCTGCAGAACATTCCTGATTGTATCTCTATAAAAGCAAGTGAATATAACTATTAGATAAGCTGCAGCAATGGTTCTCAATTTTCTGTTGACTTATCCAGTAGGACTTGTGGTTGTAGGAAGTGGGACCTCACTGGAATTCCTTGTGTTCATGCATTATCTGCCATTAGATGTGGGGAGTTTGAAATAAATGACTTTGTTGATAGATGTTACTATGTGGATACTTACAAAGCTGTATATGCAAGCATCTTGATGCCAATGAATGGCAGAGACCAATGGCCTATGTCCAACTTTATACCTGCCAAGCCCCCCAATTTTGGGAGAGGGGCAGGTAGACCCACAATAGCTAGAAGGCTAGAACCTGATGAGGTTGTGCCAAAAGAAAAGAAGAGGAGGAAAAGGCAGAAATGTGTTAATCCCCACAAGATTCCAAGGCAAAAGAGTGTGATCACTTGTAGTAACTGTGGTGCAAAGGGTCATAACAAAAATCATTGCAAAAGCACATCCTTAGGTGTAATGTCTAGCCAAACTGAATTTGCTAGTCAGCTCACTCAAGAGGATTATCTTCCTCCTACTCCACAGGTAATAATGATATTACATAATTTTTTCTTATCCTCTATGTTTATTCTTATCCTTTACATAATTTGTTTTTATTCATAATTACATAGTTTCATGAGAATACAATAACTGAATTTGCAAGTCAAGCACTCAAGAAGAAGCTATTCTCCCTCCAACTCCACAGGTGATAATGATAATCATAATGTTATTTCATTTATTTCATTATATGTACTTAATTACTTGCAATTTATAGGTTCCTAAGACCTCAATTCCCAATCCTAAGAAGCCATCTAAGAAGCCATCAAATCCAAATCAACATATTGCTATCCAGGTGATAATTATTAGTAAAGTTAAGTTATTTACATTTTCATCATAATATGGTGCTGCTATCATGATACTAAAGTTTTTACTGCTTTTCAGGATGGTGCATTGCATGAGGCTATACAGGAACAACCTCCAACCATATGGGACCAACTTCAGTTCCAACAGAACAATGAGCCTGGTGGATCTTCAACATATAACATGAAGCCCTGGAAATATGTCACATTTTTAGACTTGAATGCATGTCTTGCTAAACAAAGTACAAAAATGGTACAGGGGAAGGGCAAAAGAAAGAAGAAGAATTGATGTAGTTGCTTTTTTTGGATGAAGAAACATTAATTAGTGTTTTGATTATGCTATGGTTTGATGTTCTTAAGATGGTTTTTTGGATTGAAACTGGGGTTGGCTGTGGTTAGCTTATGTTTGGGATCTTAAACACTTAACTTTTTGTGTTATAATTATGGAAATGGTTTTATGATTAAGCCTATGTTGGTTTTATGGTTATTGATATGGTTTGATGGTTTGATGCTTTGATGGTTATAGCTTTGGCTATGGTATGATGGTTTAATCTGCTTATACTTATAGCAGTTGTATCAGGTTTTACAGGTTTTATGCTGTTTTGGTGTTGTATACTTGAGTGTTGGGATGTTGTTTTTAGTGCTATATTAGGTTCTAATATTTTATATAAAATCAATATAACCAAACACATTATAAGATAACCATAACTGATCCTGTGTGAGGTTCAAACACAAGATATAAACACATGATAAACATAACCAATATTAGGTTCTTAAGAGATAACTTTCTTTTCTGGTTGGAAGCAAACTCACTACACTGAAATTGGAAATAAACTCTCACTTCATGGAAAACAATATCAAGCCAAAACTGACTCCTTAAAGATGCATTGATAACAATGTGGCAGATGCATTACACACACAAGAACTGGTCCTTACACACACATGGAACTTCAACTTCAACAAGTTCTTAAAGTCCCTAAACGAAATTGCTAGTACTTTCTTACACAAATCCAAAACACCTTAACAGAACAATTAAGCACCAACATATGTGGCTCACTCATTAGACAAATCCTAAACACTTTAACAAAACAATTAAGCACCAAGAAATTATAAAGTACATCTTCCATTTACGCCTCTGATTCTCCAAATTTTCAACTTCTTTCATGAGAGTATCCTTCTCTTTCAACAGGGTATCCTTCTCTTCACGAAGGTTCCGAATGACATATGCAGTACGTCGAGGAATTGGGGGATCTTCCCAAGCAAAAAAGTCACAGCCTCCATCCTGAATTAGGGAAACAATTGTGTTTCACTTATAAATAATATTTGTGAATTTTGAAGAAGAATAAATACATGGCGGAACGGAGAGAGCTTGAATACACGTTTAAGGAAAAAGAGTACCTCCCAATCTTCACACCCGCGGAATCGCCTACCTGGGTTGGCTGGAGTCCACGAGGTCCACACCTTCGATTTCTTATTACATCGACAATTCGGGAAAACCCTGGAGTTACTGATCGACGAGGACATGGTGAATTGTGACTCCCGAATTTGGCAAGATCTCTCAGCTCTCAACAGCTTTTCCGATTGAGCGATTAGGTTTTGTGTGTGTGTGTGTGTGTGTGTGCAATTTTCCCTCCAAATTAAAGCAGTAGTCGATCTGTATTGCCGACGTGGTTCATAAAAGAAAAGAAAAAATGAAAGCGAATTCCATGTCAGCAGCCGGTAAGATTTACCTCCGGTAGCCGGTGTGAGGACGATTTCTCACGATTTTTGGCACTTACGGGATGTTTTCCAAAAGTGGGTATCCAAGAGGACTAAATCTCAATTTGGGTCCACTTAAAGGACTAAATCTCTAATTTTTCCTAATATTATTGCTCTCTTTATTCAATAAATCGAACCTCCAAATGATTAATTTAATAATTAATTAATTAATCCCATTGACCGAATTACCTCCCTATGTTTAAGATATAACATCTGTCAACTAATTTAATTACTGACAATTAAATTAAATTGACTTCTTCATTTCCGAAATTAGTACCACTCAGTTCATTAATGATTATGCCGGATAATTATCCACCTGCAGGGTTTAACATAATATTTCTTCCTGAGCTCATTTCGGGGATGTCATCAACCCAGCGCACTGGGACATAGTGATTGTAAATAATTTCATGGCAAACTATATAAATATTCTTACTTACCAAAATAGCGAGTATGTCATCCTAACAGAATAGGAATCACCCTTGCTAAACCAAATAAATAAGTAATAAATATATATGCCCATTTTACATTATCTTACAGCTTAAGAGAACGCATCAATAACTGAAGGTGTAGATTATAACTACGATTAGTAAATCTTATAATCCTATCCTTTCGCGGTCCGTTCAATACTTATCATAAGTACTAGTGTAATCCATCAGTTAAAGATCAACTGAATAAAGACTACACTACAGTCTTTTTCCAACAGGGGTCTCACTGCCTATCTAAACTGTGAACAATAAATTTATATTTTACAAGGAACTGATAACATGATCTTTCTGTTCGACACGACGAACTATATTATCTACAGTGTAAAATAATGGAGTTATGGTTGCATAAATAAATAAACTGCAAACATAAATACTTTGACTAAAACACGATTGCCAGATCAAAATGGTATTATTAATATCTGAAAGCCAAGCTTTTACAGCATATCTAATAGTCCCACGCACATGAAGCGCACCATAAGCAGGGAAAGCCCAGATGAAGCCCAAGGGGGGGTTCCATCCCAAAACCAATTGGTGGAAGGAGATGTAGCCCATTAGACTTATAAATTAGGCCTATGTTTCCTGTATAAACAATGTGGGAAAACTCACAAGTGATATTCTAACAGAAATATCAAATGGAGCGCGAGTGGGGAGGCGTTCGTCGGCTGTGGCGTGCGGCGGAAGGGAAGTGGTTGACCACAATAATCCATCCAAAACTTCGATTGGTGATGACAACAATCTTGACAGTGGCACGTCGAGGAGAATAACAAGGTGGTGGTTTCGGCTATGGCGGACGATGGCTAGGAAACGAACAGTCCCCAATTTAATTTCTGGGCATCATTTTGAAATTAAATTAGATAATTTTGAAGGGCTTGAATGTATTTTTAGAAATTTCAACTATATTGAAATTTAATTTATGGGTCAAATTTATTATTTATCAAAATCCTAATAACTGCACATTAATATTTAGTGCAGTGCATAAAATAACTATTGAATATGCACATTAAAAACAATAATGATAGAAGAACTGAACATTAGTGTCTGCCAGATTGCAAATTAGAGGCTGGGGATTCTCTCTGATGGGAGTGGAGCGATTCTCTCGTTGAGAGGCATATAATTCCTTTGGTGAGGGTGATCTTTTCGAAATTGGGCGAGATCGTGGTTACATTAAGCGAGATCGTTGCGAGGGGACGTCTGTTAGGATTCTCTTATGGCAAAGCAGTCAGAGATTGGAGATGAGGTCGTGGAACAATTACAAAAATTTTCGTTGTCTAGGAAGGAAGCGGGTGGAGTAGAGATTAAAAGGGGGGATATTTCTTCGAGTGAGGAGGAGTGTGAGAGGAGTTTGTTCGGGAAAGTAATTGGGGATAGGAGGGCGACGTTGCTGGGGATTAAACGAACTATGAGTGCAATATGGAGGATTCATCACAGATTAGAAGTACGTGAATTGGAATCAAATTTTTTCCAGTTTATTTTTTGCTCTGGGGAAGACAAGAAGAAGGTTGCAGCAGGACATAACTGGGTTTTTGAGAACCAATATTTAGTGCTGAAGGAATGGTGCTCGGGTCTTACTAGTAAGCACAGGTGTTTTAACAACATTAATTTGTGGGTTCATGTCATGAAAGTACGTTTCAACTGGATGAGCAGTGAAGTAGGGCTTAAGATTGGGCAAGTGTTTGATGGGGTTAAAAATGTGAACGTCTGCAAACTGGGAGGAGAGTTAGGTAGCTACATTAAGCTGCTAGCATCGATTAATATTAATGAGCCACTACCCAGGTGCACGGTGGTAAAACTTGAAGATCAGCAAGTTATGGTCTCTTTTCGATATGAGAGATTGGTAAATTTATGTTATTACTGTGGGTGTATCGGCCATTTAGACAAGAAATCTGAAACTCGGTTGACTGACATCGAAAACAAAAACCTTCATGAGGGCCAGTACGGGGAGTGGCTTAAAGCAGGTGAGACAATCTTTGGGGGCAGACATTCTTTCTCCAGTGGCTCTGAACAAAAGGAAACAACGCCACCAAGGTAATCAAATGTTGAGACAAATGCAGCTGCAAGCACATCAAAACAACAGGTCTTCTCTGGAAAGGGTGATAATAAAGAAGATGGGGAGTCAGTTTCCAAGGAGGTCAATGAGGATATTGAGGGTAAGGCCATAGAGTTAGTGATATCTCAGAATGCAGAGGGATATGAAGGCAGGGCTGGGGAACAGGTTTGGGAAATCATGGAGATAAGAGAAGTCAGTCCTGATATTCAAGATGGACAGATGTTTGAAGTTGAGAGTGAGGTTCTTGAAGTCCAATTTAAGTGCTCAAAATAGAACCTGGCGAAGAGCTGCAAAAACAGGTAGACTTATGAGAAATCATCCTTACTCAGATAGTAATATGTCTGCAATTGGGGATAAGAGAGAGAGAGGGGAAGAGACAAATCTTCAAATTGTGGAATTTCAAAGTGGAGAGATGGAGCAGCAGAGGAAGAGAGTTAAATTGTCATTAAAGAAGGTGAAGAAGGCCAGCTTCAATTGGCCCCAATGTGACAAATGAAGGCTATGGTGTGGAATTGTAGAGGGCTGGGTGGGCCCTCTACAGTTTCCCAAATCAAGGATTCCAGAAGAATCCACCACCCAAACCTTATATTCCTATCAGAAACCAAAAAATCCAAAGATTTCACCAGAACAGTTTGTGTTAAATTCGGTTTTCAGAATAGATGGCATCTGGAAGAACCCGTAGGTATAAGAGGGGGTTTACTCCTTATGTGGGATCAGGCAATGGAAATCAGAAATATTATTGAGAATGAATTCTGCTTGCAAGTGGAAGCTCGAGGTCCTGGTATCAGTGAGTGGTGCTGGTTGATATTTGGGTACCTGAATACTGACAGAAATTAGAGGAGACAGCAAAGGGAATTTCTTATGAACTGTAAGATGAACTGGGGAGTGGAATGACATAGTAAGCAATGAGGAGAAGAGGGAGGGCATACTCAGAGCAGAGAACAATTTTTTAGAGTTCAGAGATTTCATTGTGAATATGGAGATGCAAGAAATGGATCAAAAATGGGCTTTTTTAACATGGGGAAACAACAGAATGAAAGATGGTTATGTGGAAGAAAGACTGGACAAAGTGTTCACATCTATGGATTGGGCACTGAAATACCCCAATATAGAAGTATCCAATTTCTATAGATGTGCTTCAGATCATAACGTTCTGCTTGTGAACACTGAGATGGAGATGGGGATGAAAAGAAAAAGATTTATTTTTTATAGTAAATGGCTGAAGTTGGAGGGGGTGACTGAGGCTATGGAGAAAGGTTGGCAGGGTGTCATTGAAGGCTCGGAGATGTTTCAGGTGCATCAGAGGATCAAGAATACAAGAATGGCTTTACTATCCTGGTTTAAACCTATTAAGAGGAATAATGAAAAACTTATCCATGAATTGACTGCTAAATTGGAAGTGATGAGAGCTGAAGGAGGAGACACAAACTGGACAGATGGGGAGCTATAAAGTTTGAATTAGACAATGTGCACAAAGAAGAAGAGCAATTTTGGAGATTAAAATCCAGAGCTTTGTGGATTAAGGCAGGGGATAGAAATACTCGTTTTTTCCATGCATACGCAGCACAAAGAAGAAAGAGCATTCACGGACTTGTGACAGAGACAGGAGATGTGTGTGAAAAGAAAGAGGATGTGGAAGCACATATTGTGAATTTCTATTCTTCCATGTTTCAGCTAGAAGGCTCTTTGGGGGGGAGGATTTATTGCAGCATTCCTTATTCTGTTTCAGCTGCCAACAACAATGAGTTGATCAAGCAGGTCTGTGAGGAAGAAATAAAGTCTGCCCTTTTTAGTATGGCCTCTGGCAAGTCACCGGGTGAAGATGGTATGACAACAACTTTTTTCCAACATTTCTGGCACATCCTAAAATCTGATATCTGTAAGGCTATTTCCTGTTTTTTCTCATCTGGGCAAATGCTTAAAAATTGGAATCACTCTGTGATCACCCTAATACCAAAATGTCTTTTCCCTGAGCATCTGAGCAACTACAGGCCTATTAGTCTCTGTGGAATTTTGTACAAAATAGTTGCAAAAGTCCTTCCAGAGAGGCTAAAAGCATGTCTCAGTGATTGCATAAGTGAAGCTCAGACATCTTTTATTTCAGGAAGGCAACTGATGGATAATGTAGTGTTGGCTCATGAAGTGTTCCATTTTTTTCATAGACACAAGACAAGCAAAAATGTGTTCATGGCCATTAAACTGGATATGGTAAAAGCGTATCACTGGGTTGAGTGG